TTTTTTTTAAATCGATGTCTCGCGATTAAAAAAAAACAATTAGCGTATTTTCAAATGCCTATCGTTAATAATTATTGGTCTTTCAACAGTCCGATAATTATTTATCTTTAAACTTCCTTTAATTATCAACTTTATTTTTTTTATTGTATCAAAGGTAAGTGCATAAACTTATATACTGTTTATCAAAGATCAAAAACAAATTTATTTCAATATTCTAAAATTGTTTAAACAACAATTATTTTCAAAATATGTCGAAAATTAGTAATATATGTAATGAGTTAATTTCTCATTTGCTTATATTTTAAACAATAAATAATATTTGAATTATACTTTAATCACAAAAGAAATGATGATTAAATTAATAAATTAATTATAAAAAATCAATAATACTTCATTCATATCAATAATACTTCATTCATACTTAATTGCTTAATTGTTTTAATTTTTTGAATGTATATTATGTTTATTTATATGTATAAAAATATGTATTAAGGATTTACATTTATTGTAAATGACGGTGAACTTTGATCGTCTATAACTACGTAATCAATTGACTAATCGATCTGTTTTTTTTTTCAAAAGAAGCGTCTTTCCAAGAACTTTTAAAACCTGCTTTAAAAATTTGATTTGATTGAATATTCAGTTATTTTAATTGTTTATAAGAGCAAAAATTCGACCAATGTTTAAACAAGCGCCAGAGCTCTCCTAATTGAGGGATTCGAATTTTTCAAAAAGCGTTTGAAAGCTTGAGAGCCCTTCTATATGTGATTAAATTTGTAAAGTATCTAAGGGCCTTGGTTTTTGTTGTGCAAAATTTTGAAAATTTGCAAATTTTTTTCAAAATCTGGAATGTAAAATTATTATGTAAAATCTATCGAACCGATTTTGATGAAATTTGGTGCGATAATTCTACATAGCATGAATTTTTCTTGAGCCAAGTATGAAGGTCCTATAACCAATTTAAAGACCCGAAAAAAATTTTCCAAAAAGTAATGTTTCTTAACCCCATATTTGGCGATTTTTTCGATTTTTACAATAATAATCATGATTCATTCGATTTGTAACTAGTCATATTTTGTAAAAAATTTAATTACAAACATTTTTTTCCTCTTCCATTTTCGCCTAAAATCAACTCTTGAAAAGATACATAATTAAATAGGAAGAAGAATATGACATTTTTCGAATTTTTGTAACATATTGTGTCGCCAAAAGTTAAGCCCACGTTTTTTTATGCGCAAAGAAAAATTTTCATTTCTATTGATATTTGAAAGCCAAAAAGCCAAAAATCTCCGTGGATATACGATTCACCCAAATATGGACTCTTTGAAACTACCAAACTATCTGTGTCCACACCTCTGCTATTAGAAATATTACCTCTGTGAGTTATTTCAATTTTTTTTAGTAATCGTTTACGAAGAATTACGAAAAGAAAAACAAATTTTGTACTTCTTACGACCCAACAGATTTCAACTTTACGGTGAGCAAACACATACGAGCTTTTGAGGTTTTAGGTCGGTCTACTTCGGTTGGCCATCTCCAGAAAACTCCTCATCGAGCAACTCCACCATGAAACCGACAGCGACACCGTCGGTACGCCGTAGCGTGGAAAATCCTAAAGAAAAACAAAAGGTCGGCGCAGTAGGCGTACCGTTTGATGCCGGACGAAAATCGAGATCGGCTACCATCACGCCATCCGGGCGGTTTCTTATATTTCTGGCCGGAGTTAATACGGTAGATGGGGAGGGGGTGACGGGGGGCGAACTCTCTGGGGCGGGCGGCCCCGGGGCCTCGGCCGCAGACCGGCAAACAACTGCTCATGTTGACCGAACCTGCGGTCGGCTTTACGTAAGAAAAACGTATCTGCCATATCCGCAGATACGTCATGTATCCGAGCACATCCTCTTATTTCCCGACGCGGTCCGCCAGGGCCGTAACGGAAAAAATTACTAGGATAGTCTTTCCGAAGTCAGTTGAACATGTATAAAAACGCGTAGCAATAAAATTTAATGAGCTTCATGGGCGTCCCTAAAAAAGTTTTCTGCTAAAGGTTAAAAATTATAATAATTTGTGTATAACATAGACCAACAAAATTTAACTTTTTTTTTTGGAAGCAGAAACTGGAATATATATTTCCGAAGGATTTAGGTGCGTTGAATCCGAATCTGGCAGAAGAATTGCTCTATCACGTCAGGTTTTTGAGATATCCTAACCTAAAAGTGCAAAATACACTGTTTTTCGTCATATTTGAGGTTATGTAGTAATCCCATCTATTCTTTTTTAAAATATATAATTTAAAAGTACAAGTCCTTTCGAATGCCGTTGACTTTGCTCAAATATCTTTTTTTTTCGTTGAGATATCACATGTTGAAATTTTTAAGTTTCTCAGTTTCTTAATATGCGAAAATCTACTAAGTAGGCCAATCATTATAGCTTTTTTTCGGGAAAAAAATACTATTAGAAGTTTTTCTGCGGAATATTGTTCAGAAACGTGTTATAAACAAAATATCAAAAAATCAACTCGAGACTAGTTGGGAAACTTTGTTAAAACAATGGTCAAAATTATGAAAAAGTAGTTATTCGACTGGCGTAAAAAAACTGTTATTCATAGAGTAAAAAAGGTTTATACAAAAAAGGTAGGTATTAAATAAATCTGTAAAATAAGACAAGTCCGATTAAATTCCGATAATTTGTTTATGCGCAAGAGCTCAAAAATGGTCGAAATTGTCNTAATAAAATTAAGAAAAAAAGTAGTACTTTAAAATTATAATAAAAAAAAACTAAATTGCAAATTGATAAATGTAATTTGTTTAAAAATAAAAAAAGTGTTAACTTTAAAAATTTACTGTGGCTAACCTAATCAACTGATTTCAGTTTTTCAAAATTCAAAATTCGAAAAATTTTTTCCAAAATTATTTTCAAAAAATTATTTTGTGAAAACTATAGAACCGATTTTAATGAAATTTCATGTGATGTTTTATTATACTCTAAAGTTTTTTTTAATCAAAATTAGCAATTAAAGTATTTTTTAAAAATTATCCAAAAAACTTGATTATTTTGCCTTTTTTTCATCAATTATTGCCATTTTGCAACATCGGTAATAAATTAAACATTTTTAACTTACAGTATACTGTGCGAAATTCAATTCTAAAACTTTTTTCCTTTTCAATATTCTTCCAAAATGCATACATTCCAAGATATAAGGAAAAAAACTCGGATAAAATAGGAATTTTTTAAATTTTTTTAAACATATTTGCATTTTTTGAAAATGTTCCGGACCTCACCCAGACCTAGGGATCTACACTTTTATTATGTGAGTAGTACTGAAGGTAATCCAGAAAAAATTTGCTTGCCCCCTCCCACATCCACCTCAAAACAGATCAGCCCTGGTCTATTACCTTTATCCATGGTTTTATGTGTTTCAGACCGTCTCTGTGTCCATGCTGCTGCGCTACTCCCATCACCAGATATTCGTGTTCATCGGTGAGTCTTTTGATTTATATCGGGTCACGCTTTCGCCCCTCCCCCCTGGGGGCGCGAGGGCAGATCGGACCCGCTTCCGGTCTTCCTCTCTGCGTGCGTCCGTCCGTCTGTGTGTGTGTGTGTGCGCGTATGCTGCCACCGGATCAAATACGCCTAGGTCCGGGATCCCGCCTACAGCCCCACAAAACTTCGGTATGTCGGTATACAGGGTGATCCGTAATTAATTTTCTTTCTATGAAACATAAGTACTGCGTTAAACTTTACTCACCCTGTATTGTAAATATAAATATTATTTTCTGTGACAGTAAGAGTTTGAATAGGGGTCGTATTCATACGGAGGCGGCCTGTGAAATTTTGTCAGAATTCGAAAGGTGCGTAAAAATATTGGCGCCTTGCTGCGCATGCGGTGTCAGCATCGTCTGGTATGGCTGATGGCTTTTAGCGACAAGCGTAACGTTCAGGTTATTTGTCTATTGTTCCCGTAGATGAAGGTTATCGAATTATTTTCGAAACATGGATGAATTTCGAACGACAATGTTTATTATTGTTACCTCTGTCTCGTAGTCAGATATTGCACGAATAAATTTTTGTGGCATATTCTCCCGCAGATTATTATAAATATTTCCCACCCACCATCGCCGATGGAGCGGATGGTCAATTTTAGCGACAATTCCGCAACATTCCGCTTTTAGCCAAACGGTGATGTAAAAGTGAACTACTATTCAGCGAATTTGAAAGCGTTCGACGTGTCGCCGTTAATCTGCGACTGCTGAAATTGCGTCAAATTGATACGCCCAACAGATAGGGGCGCATAGAGAGCAGCACAATAGAAATTTCCGGGGCAGCTGGTATGCCGTACGCGGGGAGGGATAGTTCTATGAACTGAATTGTTGTTAAATTATATCTTTTGTCTGCGTTCGTGTCAGAAGTGACAGTTTTTTTACGTAATTTCCAGTGTAAAAAATTGGTTTTTGTCAGAGCGTATGCGATAGAAAAATTTATTTGTACTATTTCAGTTAAAATGTCTATCAGCGAGGACATCAGTATTTTATTCATTGATTTTTAACATTCTATGCATCTTCTTTGACGTAGACACAATTTTCAATAAGAATCAACCCCGAGTTGCTACACACGCTAGCCATTTTTGACACTAAGTACTAAAAAAACGATTGTAAACACTAACGCAACTACGATTGTAACATCGGATTTTAGTATTCGGAGTCGCTGAGGCCGTGGCTTTCCACGCATATTTCGAATGACGCTAGAGACTACAGTTGTCCAGCTATGTAATGGTTGAAAGTACTATAATTAATAATTTTTTCCACGGAAACTATTAGGATTTTACAAATTTTTTTTTACGATATTGACTCCATTTCTCATTCCGCATCTATTCCCAAATTTTTTTGGGTATGTTGTGAATCACCTTGTATATTTACACTGTCTTTTACATGATGGCACAGTCCGTTTGCTACTAGTATTTTTGTTACAAAATCACTGATTTAATGTTCTATTCATTGCCTAAAAGGCATTTTTGGGTCACTGTTTCAACTTTCTTAGTAAGTGAGTAAGTAATTTGAATTTAATTTTAAAAAACCCGTCTGTATTTGGGGCATTTCATGCCACATCACTAAGGTCATGACCCGACATTTTTTTCTGATTTTTTTTTGACATTATTTAGTACTCATGTAGAACAGCTTTCATGATTTTTTTTTCAAATTTTTATTTCAACCTTTCAAGAAGTCGTGAGCATTTGAATATTTTTGGTAAAAAATTTTCAAATTTCCTGTAATTTGGCGAATACTAAAGATATCGGAAACTCTTTTTTCATTTTGTTCATTTTGAGATGCAGTTTTATTTAAAAAATAAAATATAAATAAAAAGAATCTATTTTTAGATTTTTGGGTTATTTTAATTTGTAAATCAAAAAAGGGCTTTTTGAAAGAGTGCAGTAATTTTTTTCTTCGAACAGTTCTCATGACTCATTACTAAAAATACCATATTTTTCATAAATTTGCATATTGAAAGAGGATATTTTTGATAATTTTTCGAAGAAAAAAATATCGCCACTCTTCAAAAAGCACTTCTTTGATATAAAAATAAAAAAAACAGAAAATTTAAAATTATTTTTATATATCTTTTATAAAACTGCGTCTCAAAACGAACAAAATGAGAAAAAAGTTTATGATATTTTTAGTTTTTGCAGTTAGGTACAGGTACTTGAAATTTTTTTACACAAAACATTCATAACATTGTGGACAACACGTGAACTAGAACGATTTTTGAAAAATCAACGTAAAAATGATGTGTACCTTATAGGAAAGCCACACGGGACAATACACTTTTAATTTTGCTAATCGTGGAAAATATATTCCGTATAGGTAACTCGGTTTTAAGAAGTATTTTCATTATTGTGATAGAACCAAGTCCTAATACGTTCGACCATAACGCAACATTGTTAGTTGATATCACAAAACCTATATTATTTTTCATTTAACGCTTTCCAAATGCAGTTTCGTTTCGGAATGGGTTTTATACACTTTTAATGCACTTGTTTATGTGGTTCGCAGCCTAGCTGCCGCAACGATAGAAAAGAAAAACTGTATTGAAATGAAACCAAAAAAAAGTTCCTATAAACACGTGCCCGGAAACGCTTATACTCCGAGATACAGGCCGTTGAAAATTTAAAAAAAAAAACATTAATATGTGAAATGAATTTGGAACAATGTTAAGTTCTTAAAATTTGGCAGTTATTGTACGCTGCATTTTTAGTATAAAATCAATTTTTATCTGCCGCCAGTGGCGTAGTTAGTCGACGTTTTCGTCATAAAATGCGGCAGATAAAAATTGACTGTACACTAAAAATACAGCTGTACCAACATACAATAACTGCCAAATTTGAAGAACCTAACATTGACTGTTCCTATTCAAATATTAATATATTTTTTTAAATTTTCAGCACCCTGTATCTCGAAATTTAAGCCTTTCCGGTCACTGGTTTATAGGAACTTTTTTTCTTTAAATACCATAAGTAATTGTGTTGCCAATAGTTGTGTAGTTAGTATCCAATTTTAAATAGATTTCTTCTTGCGACTTTCATCACCGATGTAAAACGTAGTATATTTCGCCGGAGATGGAGCACTTCATTATAATAACCGTACGAGATTTCTGCTCATGTTTCTTTGAGAGTTATGCTAAAACATTAACTCAACTTTTTTCGATAATTAGGTATGAGAAAGTTTAAAATATATTTTCGGTAATGATGGAAATTTTAAACGTATGTCTCATTTGTACGAAATAGGGAGGGTATTCAAAGGAAAAAAGTTGGTGTAAGTACGTCCCGGGGATGTTATCTGCAGAGACTCGGATGTTTGTTTTTGCTCGTTTGTACCGTGAAATTCTAGTGGGCGAGATAAAAATCCGTGGAAGTTAATGCTACTTTAACTCTGTAGTCACTAATTTCAGTTTTTTTTTTTCGTATGAATAGATTGATAAAAATAGTAGATCAAATACTACTCATATTTTAATACAGGTTGCCTATTCAGGCAAGTGTATTAAATATACCACAACCTTCAACTAGAATAATGGTCATATCGAGAACAAAAGAAGCTTCTTGGAACTTGAAGATTCTAGTTTTGAAATCTTGAGAAATTTTTGCGAGTACCACTCTCGGTGAAATAACAAGAATAATGCAAGGCAAAAATTTTAAATTTTTTTTTACATAGATGCCTTTCCCTTTATACAAATGAAAGTATACATGTATATAGTAGGATTGTATTCGATGCAAAGTAAAGCAAAAAATTGTCGGTCTTTTATCGAAGGAAAATGGGGTCGTCATCAGTGATATCATCGGTTATACGTCAAATACTAACCTGACGAGCTTGGTCGTAAATCAGAGACCGCCTCCAAAAACCAGTAAACAGTAGCGCGTACAGAGGTGAAATGTAGTATGTACCTACATACGTAGAATTTAAAAAACAAATTGGATTTATAATAAATTACATTTACAATATATAGTTTATGAGAAAAAAGGGAGATGTCTTTGTTTTCATTTAGTCCTTCAATTGTTAATCCATAATGCATAAAGAAATTATTCAATTTCTAAACCCCTTAAAACCGTACTACACTGGATCCCTTAACAGCCAATGATTTATTACTTTGCATCGAATATGATCCTGCTTATAGAAATGTTATTTTACTTATATGTGTTCAAAGTACCTGTGGCAGTTAAAAAAATACTATTTCTTTTCAGTAACTCGGTTTAATTGAAGGTTTTTTGTAACTAACTAATGAAATAGGTTCTCAAAAACAGCTTTCAACGTCATTACGTTCAATTTTCTAATTGGCTAGACTATATTGAGCGCTTGTAGACAGTCTCATAGAGTACAGTAGAGTACAACCATACGCTTGAGCACAAATCATTTACAAATATGTGAGGGAAATGCAGGATTTGTTTAACCGGTGTCAATATGTTTGTCAAATGAATGATAGTATGCAATATAAATTAATTACGGAAATATTTCGTTTGCCCGTAATTTGCAATATATGACAGCTCGATTACAGCGATCTCTGATGCGTACTTTTATAAAGTTCGGTTGCAACCTAATTTTTTGTAGTTTTGCATTGGAATGCGAAATATGTCAATAATTCGTGGTGTTTTATGTTGTTGAATTGAATGTAACAAATAAAACATAAGCTTAAATTACTTTTTATTTTTTTTAAAAGCTTCAGCGTCTGAAAAAAACATCTTTCTGTTTAGGTCACAAAGATTCATTGTAGATAAACTCAAAAATCCTTATAGACTAGGCGGTATCTGTTTGGTTTGGGTGAATCGTATATCCACGGAGATTTTTGGCTTTTTGGCTTTCAAATATCACTAGAAATGAAAATTTTTCTTTGCGCATAAAAAAAAACGTGGGCTTAACTTTTGGCGGCACAATATGTTAACAAAATTCGAACAATGTCATATTTTTCTTCCTATGTAATTATGTATCTTTTCTAGA